CGCCATAATGCCTTCACAGTACAAAATTTTTGAACCTGGCTTTGCTGGTCTCATGATGCAACAGTGGGAGGACTAATCAACAGTTTCTAATGTCTTTTAGTATTATTTTTATTTTTTTCTTTATTTCATTTTGTTTTACTGTTTCTTTTTCCTTCCCTCCTCTGATGTTGGGAGATGGACAAAATTAAAATCCTGTCCTGGAATGTACGGGGATTAGGTTCCAGACAAGTAGCACATAAGCGATCTCTCATCAAAACTGTGGCTCGTAATTATGGAGCGGTCATTGTCTGTTTAAAGGAAACTAAATTGGTTGGGCTTTGTCTACCGGAACGCGTGGCGGTGTAGCTATCCTTTTTTCTCCTAATCTCCCCTTTGTGCTTAAAGACTATTTTTGGGATGATGAAGGAAAATGGATTTGGGTTGCTTTCGAATTGGATGGACAGTTATGGGGTATTTATAACATATATGCCCCTGTTGAGCCACGACAGAGGTCGAAATTTTTTATTTTTTTGCCAACTACAGTTCCTTCTTTAGATCGACTTATTCTTATAGGAGATTGGAACACAGTTTTGCACCCTTACACTGATTCTACAACGCCACAATCGCCCTCGTCTGCAGCACTGAAATTGACTGCAACTCTTGCTCGGCATGGTTGGACTGATGCTTTTCGCCATATTAACCCTTATGACTCATCATATACATGGATTGGCACATCTTTGACTAATACGCAGCGTTTGCCTCGTAGTCGGCTAGATATCTGTTTTCTCACAGCCCACTTACTGCTTTTACTTCAGCAAGTGGAGGTTATCCCCACCCCTGGTTCGAACCATCTCCCTTTGCTGGTCACACTAAAACGTGGATTGCACATATGTCGCTACAGAGATCTTTGCAGATTTCCGGTATGGCTCACGCAAGACAAACAATTCTTCAAGAAACTTGGAAATTTGACATTTCGACAATGCCACCTCACTTCTCAAAGTCTAAAAGCATATCTGTTGCTTTTGAATCTTTGATTCGCCTCAGTCGCACAAAATTAGTGGAACATCGTCGCCTCCGCCGAGTCAAATTTAACACACAGTCATTTCAAGACACCTACACGTCGCTCTTCTTGATCTGTATCATGCTGATGTAGCATCTTCCTTGCACCATCATATAACTGAACATCAACGTTCAGTTATACGTATGGAACGCAAATGGATGTTTTCAGGTGATAAGATGACTAAAACCCACTTTACCCGGGGAAGATCTCCCCATACGGACACTATGATTCTAGAGTTACAACACCCTTTTCAACATACTCAACCCAACGCTCATACAACAGAACAAATACTACAGTACACTATGGCATTTTACACATACCTTTTTACTACTAAAATTCGGGACATTGACATGGAAGCACATTGTCAAACACAAATTTGGCCTGCTTTGCCTCATGGCCTCACACATCAACAAAATGAACAGCTTGATATAGCTTTTACTTCCTTGGAAGTGATGCGATCTATCCACCAATTGCCATTGGGCAAAGCCCCAGGTATTGACGATATTCCAACAGAAATCATCCGCAAGTGTTCATCAACGATCGCTCCGTCAATCCTTCATCTCGTCAATGCGTTGATTGAAGGTGAAGTTATGCCTCGAATTCATGTTCAAGGTGTACTCACCCCCATTCATAAGAAAGGAGATAAGACGCAAAACCGTAATAAAAGACCCATAACTCTTACCACCACCCTTTATAAGGTGATATCTAGAATGTTAGCAAATCGGATTCAAATTTTTCTGCCCAATTTGATTCATCAAGATCAGACTGGTTTTCTCCAAAACCGCCAAATTTTAGACACAGTTATGGCTGTTTGTCAAGGGATGGAGTACATCAACCGGACTGAGCAACCGGTGGGAGTCCTTCTTCTTGACTTCGAAAAAGCCTACGATCTTGTTAATTGGGAATTTCTTTTTTTGCTTCTCCAAAGATTGAACTTCGGCCCCAAGTTTGTGACTGCAATATGGGCCCTATTCACTGGTGCTACTACACGTTTGCTAGTTAATGGGAAACTGCCAGAACCCATCTCTCTCACCCGATCTGTGAGACAAGGGTGTACTTTAGCACCTTATCTGTACATACTGTATATTGAAGCTTTGCATGCAATGATACGAGTTAATTCCCAGATTGTTAGATTGCGCTTTCCTCCACACTGTGAGGCCAAGGGACAGGCCTTTGTTGATGACACATCGCAGTTTATTTTACTTGATGATGGAGCTTTTGATGCTTTAAAGCAGACTATTGGATTTTTCTCTTGCGTCTCAGAGGCCAAAATAAATTGGCAAAAAACAATGTTGATGATTCCTTTGCATTGCCCTCCACCATACCACTGGGGAATTCCAATCAAGACTGCTCAGGACGTTCAAAGACTGCTTGGGTACCAAATCAACTTCCAGGGTGACATTGGTCATACCTCTCTGCAGATAGTTGAAAGAATCAACTTAGTAATATCTTCGTGGGCAAAGGCTAAAGGCGCTGGCCTTTATGGCCGAGTGCTCACTGTTAACAATGCTGTTTTCGCTAAAATTTGGTATGAGCACTCAATAACAGCCCTGTCACCATCTGTTTACACTCATATTAAGCGTGCTGCAGCTAATTACATATGGAAGGAAAAAACTAATGAGCCGGCTTTTATTTCTAAAGTAGCTTGGAATAAAATCATTCAGAAAAAGAACAATGGTGGACTGGGCGTGCTGGATCCACAATTGCAGATCACCGCTCTGTTGACCAAATGGGTGCCTAGGTTCATTTTTGCAGATGACTCAGCAACTTGGAAATCTCTTGCCAAATGTCTGTTGTCTTTTGATTTAGAATTACAGATTGACCCTGACATTGTTTACCTAGCCTTTTTCTTGCCCGAATACTGCCGCAAATCGGCTCTTTCCCCGATTTGGAAATCTATATTGTCAGCTTGGAAGCAAATCCTCCCTCAGCGACTTACCGCCATGTTGCAGCGGGACAGACTACTGTCTCAATCAATATTTGGTAATCCCTGTATTTTGACTCCAAATGGCCAACCTTTTCCTGTGCTGGGCACAGGCTCCTTCGGAAGGAGTTGGATGTGTCGTGGTGAAGCCACTCTGGCCAATCTTTGGGATTTCACCTCCAATACTTGGAAGCAAGAGTTGCAAATGGGAGATTCATTGGGTGGACTTCGAAATTGGCGTCAGAATCTTCAAGCTGTGCTTAATGCCATCCCTGCAGAATGGACATATATCATTTCTCAGCACCGTTACTTGCCAGGCTCCTGGTTTTGTGAGACAGCTACACAGACTCCTCACAAGCTGTGGTGATTGGAACATTAAATAACAGACACAGAGTGAGAAATGACTGCCTGGATAGCGACAGATGGATATGCTGGTCTGGGAACCCCACTGACCAGAAATACTTCGACTTCTGTTGTTTCTAGTCTCCTTCATTTGTCGCCAGTCTATGTTTTGGAACAATCCAAAGGCCTTAATATCTCTTATCTTCCTTACAGAATATCTACTGCTTCCTGTGATCTTCGTCTTGATCCGCGGGATTGGTGTTGGGAAGATCCCAGAAAACCTGGCTGCTCTGTTGCTCTCACACAGCATTCTGTTAGGCATGCATATCTCTTGCTTTTACCTGACGTGGATATTGATTGGAGTGTGGTCACCAAATGGAGAAGTCTTGGTTATACCATTCAACCACATCGCCTATCGCCTTTTTTGCGCCTTCTACAGGCTCTACGAGTGGCGAAACATGCAGGTCTGTTATGGCTGATTCTGCACAATGCGGTACCTACTGCTGCATTTCTTTTCCACCGACGACGCCAAGGCTCGCCTTTTTGTGCAGCCTGCTCAATCCCCCACTTGGTTGAAGATCAACATCATCTTTGGATCACTTGCAAGAACGCTAGATCTGTTTGGGCACACCTCCTGCATCAACCCCCTCTGCCCCTTGAATGGGGAGACTTGTGGGCGGAGGACTCAATCTTGCTTGGTACGGTTTCTCTTCACCTCTCCAAACCCCGAGCTTATGTTTATGAGTCATTCAGAGCAACTGTTCTATGGCATTCATGGCGACAACGGAATGATGTGGTACTATCTCATGACACTTCGGCTTCTCAACAGGTGATTTTTCGTATTAAAAAAGATTTGAGACACATCATCTACCTTGACTGGTCTCAGAAAATTGCAAAATCCTCAAATTTGCGAGTTGGGGTTCACTGGTTTCGTCAACATTGGGCTTCCTGCCCTTCCCTTGTTACCATTGATGCTTGTTTAGGTGATTTTACTTTTGGGCCTTTCTTGCAGTCTTAGAAAAAATGTCCTTTCATGCTTGGTTTCAGACGATTTCAGTCTTTCATTCTTTTAGGCGGTCTTTTGTAATGGTGTCACTGTTTTGTAGTATCATTGCTTTTTTACCAAATAGGTTTCTTGAATACGTAAGTATACAATTGTTTATTGAGTCGGTCACTTTGTAGTTTTTTGGCTTTGTCTTTGGTTAATACAGGAAAGAGGCTCCACATTATATACTACGATTGGTGACCTTACAGCTAGTCTTTTGTAGTTTCATGGATTTCTCACCAAATACGTTTCTTCATTAAGTCAGTTCAGAATTGTTTACTGAGTCGGCCACTTAGTGATATTTTGACTTTGTCTTTGGTTAATACAGGGGAGGGGCTCCACCTCACAGAGTAGGTTTGGAGACCATGCAGCCCCTGCATATGGTTCCTAGCTGACATATTTATCCTGCCTTGGGCACTGGGCCCTCAATTGAAAAAGGATTTATTGAAATTAAAAAAAAAAAAAAAAAAAAAAAAAAACTGTTGAAATACAGACCCGTGTTCGAACCTAGATGATGGAACTTGATGAGTAAAACCAAATATTTCTGAATTGTCTGGGGCCGGTCAGCTCAATGATGATATCTCAAGACCGTCGCCCTTTCAAAAAAAAAAAAAAAAAAAAAGGTGGGAAAGCAGTTGCAGCAGAGTGCCTCAGGGAAATTCAATTTGTTGACAGCTGTTGGGCCATAATCACACTAGCACTTTCCTGGATGTATCCACATGCAATTACGGCTAGAGCTGGATGCATCTGACTGTAATCAGATGACCAGAGCAAATTTGATAATATATATATATAATATATATACTGTCACAAGATATAGATCTATATATATCGTCATATGTAATTAAAAAGAAACGAAAAAAACAAATGTTTGTGCAGTGATCACAACCAGATAGCCTCCGCCCAAGAGCCATAAAAGACTCACCTGGACTATGCCAACGACTGTCTCGCCCCAGCCCTTCGCGGCGCCAAGGGGCACAATAGCTATGGACATGATGACTCGATCTGCGCTGCAAAGAATGAGCGCCATAGCCAAGAGAAGCATGACCTGAAGCCGACGGGAGAAGAAGAGTGGATATTGCGACCGTCCAACTGCCAGCGTTCGTGCTCCAGAACGCCAAATTGCATTGCCTACCACCTTCTCCTCCTCCTCCTCCTCCTCCTTCTCCTCCTCCTCCTCCTCCTCCTGTTTCTTCTCCTTCTCAGCCGGGAGCTCTGTCCCGACCAGACTCGACGGATCTAAGCCCTCCTCGTTAGCATCTGCGGCGGCGGCGGCGGTGAATGGCCTTGAGGTCGCCGAGCAACGGGCGACCGGTACGCCGTCGCTGCCGGCGGCGGTAAAGGCGCGGACGACCCCAGTCCTCCTCCTGATGATGACGGTGGCGGCGGTCCCAAATTTTGTGGTAGTGGTATTATGCGATCCCGCATTTTTGTTGACGTCAAAGAACCGGCCGCGATCCCAATCGGAGAAGAAAGCCCGGTGGCGCTCTCCAGACGGCCGCGGCGGCATAATGCCTCCTGAGCCCATGCCACGTATGACACCGCCGTCGAGCTCCCGGCTCGACGAACATTGTCCCGACCAGGTTCGCGAGGACGTTGAGCAGCTGAAGTTATTATTATTATCATTATTATTATTATTATTATTATTATTATTATTATTAAGACTGAGAAGGAGACGTTCATAGCCGCCATCACGCTCTTTCTGTCGATACGACCAGGCTTCCCTCGTGCGGCATGACCAGACGGCTGTGGCGCTCTGCTTTCGCGCCTGATCCTTTCCTAGTCCAATCAACGGCTGACCAATCAACGACAACGGCCGAGGATGAGGAGATGACGTGTCAATACACCGTAGTGCGTTGGAGTTGGGAGCGAATGAGAGCCGCCGCCGCCGCCGTCGAAGGGCAAGGGGAAGACGATGCGCGGAATGAATGGGAGTGGTTCTCCGTGGCGCGAAGGACCGCTGCAACGACTGACGAAGAAGACCGGTCGTTCCAGGCAATGGCACATGCAATTGATGTGCCACGACCGGTTGCACGGCATTCAGATCCGTCAGCCTAATCACCCTCCTCTTGGGCAAGCGCTTGCAGCAAGACACGTGGCAGCTCCGACCGGACAACACACAGGAGGACTGCATCGTTACCTGCACGTGGACGTCGACTACGATTCATTCCACGCCCCCCACCCCGCTATTTACTGTAACATCGAGGGAAATGTCATTATTCTCTCTCACCAATCAATCAACCAATCAACCAACCAACCAACCAACCAATCAATCAATCAATCAATCAACCAATCAATCAATCAATCAATCAATCAATCAATCGATCAATCAATGGCAGTAGGGGCATGCTCACAATGCCGTAGCACTTTTGCACGATGAATCTGACGGCGATTGTGGACAGATGCATTCTCAGACCGATTCCGCAGACTCCTGCTGTGCGTGCGTACATCGACAAGAGATCGAGCGGAAGGCTGAGAAACACCACCACCACCACCACCCCCACCCCCACCCCCACCCTCCGAGAGAGAGGACTCTCTACCTTATCGAGTTCCGATGCATCTCTCGGACTCTACCTTATCTATTTCCGATGCATCTGAACTGCGTGTGAGGACAGATGCATTCTCAGATGCATCCTCCGAAGTCGTACGACATGGAGATCTTCGAGGGATTCGACATCCGCCACGGCTGTCAGTCGGTATCCCCTAACAACGAAACGTTGGACGGTATCCCGACTGCCGGAAAACGACACCACCTCAGACCGTCCGACGACCCGTCAGCTAAACAGTATGGACCAGCAGAACATCCAACGGCAACCTGAACCACACAGAAAAACAGGAGGAGGAGGAGGAGTAGAAGAGGAGGAGAAGAAGAGGAGGAGGAGGAGGAGGAGAAGAGGAGGAGGATAACGAGTCAGCTAAACCGTATGGACCAGCAGAACATTCAAAGGCGACCTGAACCACACAAAAAAGGAGGAGGAGGAGCAGAACGAGGAGGACGAAGAGGAGAACGAAGAGGAGAACGAAGAGGAGGAGGAGGAGGAAGAGAACGAGGAGTACGAAGAGGAGGAGGAGGAGGAGGAGGAGGAGGAGGAGGAGGAGGAGAAGGAGAAGAGGAGGTGGAGGAGGAGGGGTCAGCTAGCAGAACATCCAAGGGTGACCTGAACCACACAAACGACGAGGACGACGAGGAGGACGAGGAGGACGAGGAGGGCAAGAAAGGGAAACAAGACAATGAAGAGATGGGTAGGACAGAGAACAACGTAACTGCAGCTTCATCGAACAGAAGAAAGGAAGGATGCAAAA